GCCGAGTTATTTCTCGCACGCAAATTCAATTTTTTTTTCTCTCGTTTCCGTTGGGTGCCACGCCGTGCCGAGAGCAAGATACTCAGCGTGCAATCAAATTATCAGAAGATCGTTCGATTCTGGCACGGCTGCAGTAAAGCGTCTCGTCTTGCAGCTGTAGCAGCAGCAGCACATATAACCAAATGGCCTTGGCTTCGAATTTCGTGTGCCGCATCAGCTGCGGTGCCCTGAATTATCGGCCTTTCTTATTATACCTATTGATTTTTCAATATGCAGTGACAATTTCCATCTGTTCAATCCGAGTTTGCTTTTAAATACACGCCTAAGAGAATTTTCCTAATAAATTTCTTTCATTCCTTTATGCTTATAACATTATTTTCAACCTTAAAAAAATTAACAAAACAAAGGCAAACAACATTTTGCAAACCGTCCGGATCTCTCATACATCTGCAGCCTAGCCATCAGACTATATAGCAGCTAACTCCCTTCTCTCCCGTCGCCGCGCCGTCTATCCTTTTCCAGTACGGTCGGCGGTGGCGGGCAATTACCCCACTAAATATTCACAAGTTCATTAAGGGAGCTACGCGCTGGAGAGTCAGACCTAACCAGACCCGTTTTTCCCTCCCCCCCTCACTCTCTCTCTCTCTCTCTCTCTCTTGCTCTTTTCATCACTCTCCCTTGCGTCTCTCTCTCTCTCTCTCTCTCTCTCTCTCTCTCTCTACTTCTCACCGCAGAACCACAGAGAAAGGGGATGCTACTGCTGCTGCTGCTGCTAGTGGCGCGACTGGACTTTTGTGCTTTCACTCTGTCTGTCTGTCTCTCTCTCTCTCTCTCTCTCTCTCTCTCATGAAGTAGACAGAAATATTTTAAGCAGCTCACAATCTCCATGATTCGCGTTGCGAGCGTTAATTATGGAGCTCTGCGAGCGCACGTCTTTTCTCTGTTTTCATTTTCGACCGGCCTCATTACGAGGATGCCCTTCGCTTGCTCAGATGAGCTTTTTCATAGGGCGAGAATTTTCATACGTTGCCCTTTCTTTTCTTTTCGTTTTTTCTGTTTTCATCATTGATGGCTATTTAATGTTTAAACTTTAAAGTTACTAAAACGCTTGCTATGTCTTGGGACCAATATTTTTCCTGGTATTTACGAATGCTTATATCCAAAGTCTTTTCCGACCTGATTTTGCGGGAAAAAGAAAAAGACGAATTTCAAAATATCAAATAAGTATGCAATAAGCACTGCGCTAATAATTATGAATCTTTTAGTTCGATTATAAGGTTAAATTGATTTTATAAGCTTAATTTTATTAACTTAGAATCTTGATTGAATATTTGATTTGATCAAACACACCATGTACAACATTTTTACGAATTATCACCCTGTCTGATCATTACGCCCTTATTTCAATGTGCGATATAGGATTTTCTAAATTCTAATTTGACAAGAATAAACATTATTTTTATTTAAAATTTCTGAGAAAAATCCAAACTTTTTAAACAATTTATTTACGAAGAAATGTAAACATTCAAAGAGGATACTGAGAAATCAAACGCACAATTTTGATGGTCAGTAAAAAAAAATATTTCTGAGTCAATGGAGGATCCTTATAGTGATTAAAAAGCGATAACAGCTTTTCCTATATAATAATTAGCGAGCGAATAATAAATGCAAGCTAACCCCACACCATATCCGAGCGTTTTATTATCGTCAGTTCTATTTCTTTGTTTTTTTTCATCTTTCCTCAAACTCTCATGTGTTTGCTTCTTGTTATGTATAATTTTTTAATAAATTATAAAAAAGATATATTTGGATGAAAATGTTTATTTTGATACGTGAGACAGAACTGAACTGAGAAAATTGAAAATCAACAAACCGAACTTAGTATAAACAGTTGAATTAGAAAATAGTAATATCACAATTGTCGTGGACAAATGTCCGGCTATTAATTCACAGGTATACGTTTGTGTAGATGTTTACCGGAGAGGTTAGAGAATTGCGAGGTTCTTGGGAACGTAGCAGTACGATTTGCGTGCTTTAGTTTGTTTACTGGGAGTTTATGGAGGTTCAAGTTGTAGGAAGTAACCATAAAAAGTGTACAACTGAATTGAACTAGAGAAATAAAAATGTGGTTTTTGTAGAATTTTCAAGGTACGTAAAAAATCTATTACTAAAAGCATTAAATGATCTTAATACAGCATCTACGTAAAACGGCATTATTATCTAAAGCTGAATTATTCTAGATATAATGTAAAATTATATCACACAATAATTCAGAAAAAGTATGGGCTATACAAAAAATGATTTTAAACTTTTTAAATCATTCTAAAAATTCATAATATTGATATTTCATTTTTATAACTATCCGCTTTAATTTGAAGAAAAAATGTTGATATTTTTCATGTTGAATCAGAATGTCCAATCAATGAAACATGTTACGAACGATGTTTATCACAGTTTCTTTTACATGTAAAAGTAACAAAAATTTAAAATATCATATGAATTGTATGTACGAAATTTTACGTAGAAATATACCTACTAAAAGTAACAGAAAAAAAAATAAAAATACTGAAAAAAGTATAAGTAATTGAAATTTATTATGAGTACGAGTTAGAAAATTGTACCAGCTAGTCATCGCTTTTCTGGGAAATGATACGGAATTGCAAGTGAAAGGGGGAGGGGCATCGTTGATGGAATCCATTATGTGTTAAATTGGAAAACGATTCGTACTGCCGCAAAAACATTTTTCTCTTTGCTGTCTGTATTCCCATCAATTTCGCTAGGTAAACACTTTATTTGATTGGAATTACTAAGTTGTTGAATACGATGTGCAAAGATAGTAATCGTTTAGATATATAAAACTAACGAGTGTAAAGTAGAGATTTCTTTTTGTTTAAATTAACTTTCAATAGAAATATTTGATATATTCTCAATAGAAATTGCTATCATTATTGAAATTGAGAGTTATTTTAATTTAAAAAAAAAATTAATGAATTATCTACACGCAGATATTACTTACCAATGTACTTATTTAAAAATTCGCATGTACTTTATTTAAAGGTAAATTTAACTTATGTGTATAAAAACCACATGAGAGTATGGTTATATAGAACATTCACATATTACAAAGATCGAATAAAATAGGAAATCAAAGTATCGGCTCACTTATGAAATTTCGTTCTTTCTTTTACTTACGAGGTTTTATTACCCCCTCGATCTCGAATTTCTTGACAAGTCTGTATCTGCCCAATGACTTTGAAAAATTCAATGTCTTTCAAAGAAATTGTTCTCTCTTTATTAACAAATTTTTTTTTGTATTATTATAACCAAAGTATGCGTATGTTATTTTGAAGTCGCATAATTGTACATTGGTAATATCATTTTTACACGTTCTAGGTAGAAAACGAAAATTATCGTTGAGCTTGGAACATGAATCGTAATATCAGATATTGAAATCACCATCGTTGACATAAAACATACATTAAATATCATACCATATGGAGAATAACGCAAGAGAATAAAATTTCTGATGACCATCCCACCCATCTAGGCCAACGATACGCGAGCATATCAGTTAAAAAGTTAACCACAGCATTGTAATTCTCACAATAAAAAGGACGATGAACCAAGCTACGATAATATCGACAATCGAATAACAGTGAACAGAAGTTGGTTTGCAGCAGTGGTGGCAACACGCGTAGGAGGTTTATTTACAATAGTAGCGACACATACAAAGTACCTCAACGTAAAAGCGATTCGCGCGCGCATTACACGCGCGCTCCCTTCATACATAAGTCAATCTGGCACGATCCGAGTTTACGCTCACACGGCCATGAATTATTATTGCCGCTAGCGTAAATCCCATGAGTATACGCGCACCGCGCCTGCCTATTGCATATTGACTTAATGTTCCAATCGCTACATTACTTGGTACGCCTCCCTTCTTTACTGCTAACTGTTTATTCAGGATAATAAACAAATTAATCGTTTCGACCAAAGTTAAAAATAAGTGTTGTAGGGCTTCACCTGCAAAGTCTTGCAGTTTTGATTATTTTATATTATTGAGTCACTGCCCTGTAGATACAATTTGATAACGAGAAATAAATTGTTAGCGATATAAAGATAGCGATATACCCGCGATTCTTTGTACTCACAAATCCTGCTATCTCTGATTTAGTTTAATAACTGAATGAATGGAAGTCTTGCTACAATTATTAATATAATAACGAGGACATTGTACATTCCTTTTTCCCAACATTTTCACAAGTGTCGGTACAAAATACTTTTGCTGTGAAAAACTCAATTCGTATCTTAACAGCGCTAATCAAAGTGTTTTCTTTGAGCAAGTGCTCGGTGCCGTGCTATATACATACTGTGCGCACTTGCAGCCCAGCATGAATGATGCATTGCATGCGGAAGTACGCGTGCGTGATGCCAGTCAGCCGCCACTGCCGGCGCATGTTCTACTCACGAATGATTGCTTGCCATGCGAGTAGTTTTTTCGGTTGACTAATTTTTTTTCTTATTCAAGATCCATTGATTTTTCTGATGGTGCTATGTTTTGAAAATATACGTACTACAATTCGCGTAAATAATTGGGGCAAAAATTACGGTTTTACTATTTTCACGTCAAAGAATCATTCGAGTATTCGATCTTACTCTATAAGTAATTTTTAAGTATCAAACTATAAACGATCAGTTCACACTTCAATCCAAACATACTACTCGTAGTAGCACGTGCGAACGTATACTGCGTACCCTCTACATGTACGCACGCGCCTACAGAAAGCTGATATGATTTTGTGATTTCGACACCTTGAAATGGATTTTCTGTGCTACTTTTGGCGCAGTGACGTAGAACGCTTAAGAGATTTACTGATGAAAGATTGTAAACGAATAGATAACTTAGCTAAATCATGATCTAAACGATGAAGAATGCTGTTATTAGAAAAGTAGGATGAAGTGAACTAGTACTTGAATAATGAACTAATAAATACATTTTTATATGCAGCACCTTACAATTAATCTTTTAATATTTTGATTGCTCTGGTATGTATATTTATCATTTACAAGCAAATTAGTTTTATTAAAACTATCAAAATAATTAACTTTCTACAAACCTATTGTATATTTATGTTTTTGTTATATCATATCTAATCTGCCATTATCTTTGAGTCCTATTGTTCAATATAAACTAAATCCCTTTATCATTATTCAATAATATATTTCAGACGATCTAAATTTTTAATTATTATAAGACATCTTATTTTTAAACTCCTCAATTACTAGTCACAAAAAATTACTAAACGTGACCTAAAGATATCATTTCTTACATTTTATTCACCGTTAGACTCACTCAAGTTGAAACAAATGAAATTATTAATATTATTGTTGAGTTACAAAATTAAAGAAAGCTTTTAATGAAAAAGTAAATGACTTGTTCAATTTTATGATAATGTTTGAAAAATGTTAGAACATTAAAATAAAGTAAAAATTCAGTAAAAAGTCAGATAAATTAAGACACACATAATCTAGACAGTTTTTATTTATCGTGGATGTTCCTGACAATATTTGGTATCCCAAAACTTTTTGTCACAGCAAGCCAGAGCTGGCCAATCGCAGACGTTTTCTCTAGGGTTGAAGTTTAAACCAGGTGGGCAGTTCATAAGAATAGGAAATCCAGATTCGCAGACATAATATGTGGTGCAGTTGTCGGCATTAGGACGAAAAGTTACATTTTCACTATTTTCTTTTGGGCAGAAATCATCGGGTATGTTTCCTGAGAAATCTAAGGCGTCACTCGCTGTATAAGCGATCGCGGCGATGCAAACAATGCTGAGAGTAGCAAACACTATAAGTATGGAAAACAACAATGTGCATGTTAAATAACGCTTCTAATTATTGAATGATATTGTATCAGGATACAAAATTCTTCTACTAATTGTAGTATTTTTCCAATAAATATCATTATTATAAATTGAGATTAGAAAATATAATTGAAAAAAATACCCTCAAGCAAAGAGCAAATATACATATTTTCGAAAAATTACTTTTTTACAACTAAAACGTCATAAAAGTGAAGTCATTATTTTATATAAAAAGAGAATTAAAAAGGAAATCGAAAGAAAGTTAAAATGAAATTAAAATTTTTTTTTGGTTTGTAGGTTCTAGCAAACAAAAAGAATTTCATAAAGTTTATTTTTATAAAAAAGTATTGGCTTACCATTCATGATGAAAACTTGTGTAGACTGTACACTAAATCGAACCACAACTAGAATCGAACTGATACATAAAATGATTAAATAAATGTCTTTTATAGGTGAAGTATAGAATAAAAAATTAATCAATCCCTACTTCAGGTAATCTTTGGGTAAACAGCTGTTCGCCACGTAATTGATAAAATGATTAAGTCCAGCAATAAAGCAAGATTCCTTTTGAAGAAAAATAATTGAAAATAAAGATTTCGCTGATTTTTTTTTCTGATAGCCATTGGCTTATCGTAGTCGAATTAACTGATTCATCGACGTTTCGCTATGCATCGAAGACCTTGATAAGCTCAAACGCAATTTTGCCGCTATTGATTCACTTACGGAATGTAAAAGGTAAAAGATACAGGTACATCGAAACAATTTATAGACATTAGCCTTATTTAGTATTGCCATTGAGCCGTTACGCGGTGGCCATATATTTTTATAAGCTGTTCAAGCTAGTAATGACCAATGGTGAAAGAAATGTCTGACTTATTTAGGACATCACTCCATAAGCTATGTTAAGATATTTTTAGCATGAGTTGATTTAGAATATGCTACGAACTTGTGTTCGTCAGAAGATTGATAGAATTTATTTTACGAATAGGCATTGAAAAACGAAATAACATTTATGATTTAAATTTTTTTTATACAATTGACTGTATTATTTTATTTAACCGTCGCGTGATTTTATACAAAACCATGGCTTTTTTTAATTTCCAGAGACTCTTTTTTTTCTTTTCCTTATCTTTTCCTCGAAAGCTCACAACTTAATGAACTTTACTCTATATCTATTTTAAAATATCAAAAAATTGTGATAAGGAATATGATAAATTGAAAAGTATTAAGTACACCAATTAGGTCTTTCGATATATTTTGAGATGAGAGTAAAGTATTTATTTTTATGTTAGCCAAAGTAACAAATTATATAAAATATCGAGTTAATATTTTTTTCTCATTCTTAAATTTGAACGTTCGTGAAAGTAATTCACGGAATATTTACTCTAATAGTAGGTTTAAGCAATGTCGTCGCAGAAAAAGCAAATGTTTATTAACATTTAAATAGAAATTTTCACGCCTTTTTCGTGTAAAATTTGTTGTCGGATATGTATACGGAAACATATATACATGGAAAATCGTAGATGCTACTCATAAAATATAATGTCTAATAAAAAATTGTATTATCCTACACATATTTATTAATAAAATAATGGTTAAGTGCTAGGTCATTGAATAATCCCGCTACGTCATAAAAAGAATGTATCGAAACATCCGAACCTCAGCAGAATAAACATCCACAAGAAAGGAAATCAAACAATAAACGCCGCTTGCACCTGCACGTGTAGCGAAAAGAATCTACGAGGGCGTCGGGGCATCTGACATTCGGACAAAAGCCGAAGCGCAGTCGGGTAGCTGTCTACAAAGGGAGATCGCGAGTACTTGCCTGCTTATGGCATGCTCACAATGCGCCTATTGTCGAGCAGCCCGCCAAGCTCGAACGTGTGTCGAAACGCCTATGCCGACCATACACTAGGCGCTTGCTTAACGATCTTCCCCATGTTACATGGGGATCATGGTCAAAGTTGCAGCCGCAGAGGATTAAAACAGGTATTGCCGCTCAGTTCGAATGCCAACTTTTTATTTGCTGGCTTAGACTCTACTTCTCTTATCGTTCAATAGCATAAAACTTTGAAGAAAAGTTTTCAATGAGGATTATATGTATAAAATTAGGCAGTGATGAATTTTTCAAATAACTTATGTCGAAACAACCTCTTCTCATTCATCCCTTGTTTCCCACGCTTATTCTCCTGAACCTTCCGATTATTAAAATAGGTAAATGCAGTTAAAACTTTTTTTCTTAAAAGTTGATGGTACAAAGACTGAACTAATGTTCAAATGCCTTGCACCATAATAAAAGAATCATACTTTCGTGTCTAGCGCAGAAATACGTTGCCACAGTTTCGCAGAAAAAAAGGAAAACAAATGAAAGATTTTAAATCTTCATAAAAAATCTCATAAGCACGCACTTAACTCACGACAAACGCGCGCAGCGTCGGCGAGAGAAAGAAATTCGCTGAGGAGAATCTTCTCATTGTTAGCGTAATGAAACTGCCCTGGCTAAACTTACCTTATTCGCGCTTGCGCACCTTACCCCCTCTGCCCTCTCTCTCTCTCTCTCTCTCTCTCTTGCAAACTTCATCGGCGTCTTTCCCAAACTTGCTTGTGGAATGACTAGGGAAAAAGGAGAGAGTGAAAGTTTTAAAAAGTAGAAGAAGCGCCAGACAATGTGGCCCTTTCGTTCCCTACGGGGAGGTTATAAATTTGCAGGCCGAAGTTTTTCGTAACCGAGGCGATGAATATTTTAGCCGGGGTGCCGTGGCCCCCGTATAATTGGCGGTTAAATTCAAATTCCGAATATTACGGAAAAAAAAGTTGATGCCAAAAGAATAGGAGGGAATGAGTCGAGCTTGAATCGCGTGATATCAAGCCACTGCTCATCATTATGCAGAGCTCAAATTATTTTCTTCCTTCGCGTGGTGATATCACACAGAAAACTGTCTGCACGCAAAGAACTTCGAACTTGTCCCTTTGTAATTTGCAGTCCTCGTTGCAATTTGAATGTTCAGTGATGAATCGGTTCAAATATATATGTTTGCAAAGCTCATCACGATCCCGTAAAAAAAATTTCAAAAACTAACGGTCATTCCATCTCAGATTTATAACATTTCATAAATACTCGGAAAACAACAATACATAACGTATAAAAGGCTATACATGATAAAAATAAAGAGCTCAGAATCAACCCCTTGAAATGGTCGCCTCTCGAAACGCAAGAAAACAAAGGCTGAATAGTCCCTAAAAAATGCATCATTCCTTCTCATGCACATACACGAATGTAATATACATTGTTTGTATAAATCACCAGCATCGATAAATCATCGAGGTCTCTCTGGCATTTGCCATTCAATCGGCGAATATCGCAATACACCAAACGCATATCCGCGATGCATATCTCGGCTGTGCGCGGCAGCAGCTCCTTCAGCGAGCTGCGAGTGTCACATCCCTGGAGAGAGGGAGATAGAGATAGAGAAAGAAAAAGGGAGAGATAGAAACGGCGAGACAGCTCAATATGGAAAATTGCTGAATACGGGGCCGTAAAACGCAGGCGGCGAAAGAGGCTTTCGCCTGCCAATATGGCATGTGTGTGTTCTAGAGGGGCTAAATGCCGAATGGTACAGCTGCGCGCAAGAGAGGGCAAAGAGAATTGAGACGTTAATGCGCGCCACCTATTCCCCTCCCCGCTTCTTTTTTCTTCTACCTCGTGAGACTTTTCTTTGCTTAGCATAAGCTTGTCCTCGATTTACGAGACACTGCGGAACGTCTTCTATTGCCACTGGCAAGATGAAAATTTTACCCTCTATGGCTTTTTATATAGAACGATTCCACGAATTAACAATTGTCTTTCGTATACTTCAACTGCAATCAAGATATTTCACATGTACTCGAAATGGATGTAACATGCTTTTTTACGGAAAGGAAAATTGTTAGACAACAGGAATATATAAATGGTGGAATAAACAAGTTTATCTTGTTCATTTTGACGGGATAACTTTGTCAAGGAAATGTACGACTTTACAACTAGTTCGCTTCAACTAATAAAAACCGATAGAAACACACTTCAGCATTTTTATTTGCTTTAAATAAAGAGAGATTGAGATAACTTTTAATTCACATCAGCATTTTTTTATCACGCAGAAATATTTCAATAACGGAAATCAATGAAATACTATACGTAAAGAATGTTCTTGTATTGCGTGTCATCTATTTTAGTTAAAAGCAGTCGAGAGTAATCACCAATTTATTCGAGCAAATGTGGTTTCATATTTATCAGCATTTAAGTAACGCCTACCTGTGAAAAGTTCATTTTCGCATCGTGTTTAGAGCATGCGCTAGCGCATGTGCTCTAATCTCACGGTACAAACTAACCCATCTTAAGTGACGGATAGACGAACCGTAAGGGCTGATTTGAGATCAGCAGTACTATAAAACGTTGCACAATAATTATGACTTGAGTATCACGCCGTGCAATAATGGGCTACTTAAGTCACACGTATCGTAATGTAGTATTAATATAAGTTGATGAATTAATTAAATATATTATGAAATACTCACAATGCTCCAAACGGGAAAATAATAAATAGCAAGAATTCAAGCTTAAAATTTAATTACATCGCAAAATCAGCACATAACCAATTATCGATCAAATTACCTTTTCTATCAGAAAAAAGAGGGAAAAAGGAGTATCTTTCCAATAAGCATGCGGGAGCACAACCAACCCTCCCGGCTTGTTCTTTGAGCGACACAATGGTTGATTATCGCAGCTCTCTTTCTGCTATGCGAGGGTGACCTTTCCGCGCGTTTACCCAAGCGACTACGCGCGCCACGACGACTTGCTTTGCATTCTTTGGCGTTTTATTCACCGGCTCGTTACGCTTTCGCCCTTCTTACTCCTCCCTCCCACCTCTCTACCTCTAATGGCGAAAAGTTGAAAGTCGATTGACGCTCAAAAAGTCGACGCTCCGATCTTTCGTAATTTTACGCTGTTAAAGCTGAATTATGATAGCGGAAAAGAACCGTTAGTTGCTGATAACTATATTTTTCAAAATTTTATTCACAAAGTCTTAGTTTTATCGCATTCAATAGTTCTTCCTATCGAATGTATAATAAATAAATGTAACTATTTAAAAAATTGCAATTAACCCTAAATTCTTTCACATGAATATTTTTTTGCTTATAATTTTTAGATTCATTAATATATTAGAAGAAACTATTCTCGTATACTTATTATGGCTTGGCCATTCAACATTCATATCATGCAAGCTCTCAGCCGTCGGTAAGGTGTATAGGCTAGTCAAACAAAAGACCTTAAAATCCCGTAACCGTCGTCGACAACGCAAAGGGTGTCCTTTCCCTCGCCAAGTTCTTGTCTCCTACGCTTATCTTCAAGTATACTCGCTCGTC